CCCCAAAACCCCAAAACCCCAAAACCCCAAAACCCCATTTAATATTTATTCATTGAAATTAACGAATTACTCCTTCTTCTCCTTTGTCTTAGTAAGGTAGTTGATGATCTCTTCTTCACTCATTCCATCATCCAGCATCTCGATTATATTGTTCTTTTTTGTGGCTGATTTATTTTTGGCTCCCTTCCTTGAAACTGTCTTCAAAATCACATCTGCTATTTTATTAATTGCTTTGTCATAGACATTCCTCATGTTTACGGTCATGAGGTTGCTTGGTCCCAAATGAGTCTCTGCATTAATGACTGACTTATTTATAAGCATTCAAAGCTTGCTGATACTTTTTGAGGAACTCATACTCAACTCCTATGTTATGATAAGCAATGGAGAGAACGACCAATCTTTCTGATGGAGTTTTATCCCCTTCAGTCCCAATTCGATTGATAATTTCATCCTGGATCAAAATAAGTGCCTTCATTGCATGCTGAAGAGCAATATCATGCTTATCCATCTGACTTAGAATAGCTCAGATGTTGAGATGGATATCTCAAGGATTCGAAGTGATGAGTTCATCATCAACAGAATTATCACTTTCATTAACATGCTTGTATTCAATTTCTAGAGCCTTTAACAAGAAAGTCAGAGCACTTCTCAGCTTCTTGGTTTTCCTAAAAAGTCATCCATAGTTATTAAAGGTGCAGGCAAGGACCCTGTAGTCCTTCTCTGCTAATTTCTCTGCCTTTTTGAGTAATTTCTTAGTAAGTTCAAAGTCATTATTTTGTAAGCTATCCATTGAAAGAATATTACAGAGAATGGCTATTTCACACTTAGTGCTCCTGACTTCATGGGAGCCGTCCCCGTACTTCCTGTATTTGAGGTCAAGAATCTCTTCAAATTTCCTAAGAGCTTCAAGATTGTTAGAATCAGCCTTCAACTGATTGGCTGATTGTTCGAGCTGCTTAATTTTCAAATCAACCTCTTCAGACATTTGATTTAAATTTATTATTTTATTTTTATAAAGAAATTGGGGTTTTGGGGTTTTGGGGTTTTGGGGTTTTGGGG